TTTACAATTTGGATTTTCTCTAATCTTCTTAATTTCTAGGATCTTTAAGGTCTTTAGAATGTCTGGAATCGTTAGAATCATTGCAGATTTTAGACATTTTAGAAATATTAGTTTAATTTAGAAGTTCCAGAGTCTTTAAAATTTTTAGGATTTTTTATCTTTCTCATATTTAGAATTTTAGTTATTAGCAATTTGGGATTTCTCTAATCTTTAATTTCTGGAATTTTTCAGGTCTTTAGAATATCCAAAGTCTTTAGAATCATTAAAGATTTTGGACACTTTAGATTTAAACTTTCTGAGATCTTTAGATTCTTCAAAATCTTTAAAAAATTTAGGATTTTGTTTATTTACAATTTCTAATTTTTCTAATCTTTCTAATTTCTAGGATCTTCAATGTCTTTAGAATGTCTGGAATCTTTAGAATCATTGCAAATTGCTCTCTAGAATTTTAGGACCCTCAGAATCTTTAAATTTTTAGGATTTTTTGGATCTTTCTTGCATGAAGAGTCTTAAAACTTCAATTTATTTACAATTTGGAATTTGTCTTATTTTCCTAATTTATCTTTATTGTCTTTAGATTCATTGAGGATTTAGGACACTTTAGAACTATTAAATGTTTAGATTTTCCAGGATCTATAAGGCTCTTTAGAATTTCTAGGTTCTAGAACCTCGGGATCTTCAAAATTTTAGGATTTTGTTCGCTCTTCCTTATATATAGAATCTTAGAATTTCAGTTTGTTTACAAATTGAAATTTTTAATCTTTCTAATTTATAAGATCTTTAATGTCCGGAGTCTTTAGAATCTTTGGACACTTTAGAATTATTAGAAGTTTAGATTTTCCAGGATCTTTATTGCTCTCTAGAATTTCTAGCATATTTAGGACCCGCCGGATCTTTAAAATTTTTAGGATTTTATTGGATCTTTCTTATATTTAGAATCTTAGAACTTCAGTTTATTCATAATTTGGAATTTCACTAATCTTTTTAATTTATAGAATCTTTAAACTTTTTAGAATGTCTTGAGTTTTTAGAAATATTGAGCATTTTGAACACTTTAGAATTATTAGAAGTTTAGAATTTCTAGGATCTTTAGCATCATTAGGATCTTTAAAATTTTAGGATTTTGTTCGATCTTTCTAATTTATAGGATCTATAATATCATGAGTCTGTAGAATTTTTGAAGATTTTGGACACTTTAGAATTATTAGAAGTTCAGAATTTCCAGGATCTTTAATGCTCTGTGGAATTTCTATGATCTTTAGAACCCTCATCTCTCTAGTCTTTCTAATTTCTAGAATATTCGGATCTTTAGAATGTCTGGAGTCTTTAGAATCATTGCAGATTTTACACAGTTTGAAAACAATAGAAGTTTAGAATTTCCAGGATCTTTAAAGCTCTCTAGAATTTCTAGGAACTCTTTTTAATTTATAGAATCTTTAAACTTTTAGAATGTCCTGAGTCTTTAGAATCATTGAGCATTTTGGACGCTTTCGAATTTTTAGAAGTTTAGAATTTGTTAGGATTTTGTTGAATTTTCTTCTATTTAGATTCCTAGAACCTCAGTTTGTTCACAGTTTGAAATTTCTCCAATCTTTCTAATTTATAGGATCTTTAATGTCATGAGTCTGTAGAATCTTTGAAGATTTTGGACACTTTAGAATTATTAGAAGTTCAGAATTTCCAGAATCTTTAATGCTTTGTGGAATTTCTATGATGTTTAGAACCCTCATCTCTCTAATCTTTCTAATTTCTAGGACCTTAGGATCTTTAGAATGTCTGGAGTCTTTAGAATCATTGCAGATTTTAGACAGTTTGGAAATAATAGAAGTTTAGAATTTCCAGGATCTTTAAAGCTCTCTAGAATTTCTAGGAACTCTTTCTAATTTATAGAATCTTTAAACTTTTAGAATGTCTTGAGTCTTTAGAATCATTGAGCATTTTGGACGCTTTCGAATTTTTAGAAGTTTAGAATTTGTTAGAATTTTGTTGAATTTTCTTCTATTTAGATTCCTAGAAGCTCAGAAAATAACACAGTTTGAAATTTTTCCATTCTTTCTAATTTTTAGCATCTTTAATGTCATGAGTCTGTAGAATCTTTGAAGATTTTGGACACTTTAGAATTATTAGAAGTTCAGAATTTCCAGGATCTTTAATGCTCTGTGGAATTTCTATGATGTTTGGAACCCTCATCTCTCTAATCTTTCTAATTTCTAGAATCTTAGGATCTTTAGAATGTCTAGAGTCTTTAGAATCATTGCAGATTTTAGACAGTTTGAAAATAATAGAAGTTTAGAATTTCCAGGATCTTTAAATCTCTGTAGAATTTCTAGGAACTCTTTCTAATTTATAGAATCTTTAAACTTTTAGAATGTCCTGAGTCTTTAGAATCATTGAGCATTTTGGATCTTTCTTATAATCCTAGAACTTCAGTTTATTTACAATTTGGAATTTCTATAATCTTTCTAATTTTTAGGATCTTTAGGTTCTGTAGAATGTGTGGAGTCTTTAGAATCATTACAGATTTTGGACCCATTAGAAATATTAGAAGTTTAGAATTTCCAGGATCTTTAGCACCCTCAGAATCTTTAAATTTTTAGAATTTTTTTGGATCTTTCTTATATGAAGAGTCTCAGAATTTCAGTTTATTTACAATTTGGAATTTCTCCCATCTTTCTAATTTATCTTTATTGTCTTTAGAATCATTAAAGATTTGGGACACTTTAGAACTATTAGAGGTTTAGAGTTTCCAAGATCTTTAAGGCTCTCTGGAATTTCTGTTCTTTAGAACTTCGGGATCTTTAAAATTTGTGGTATTTTGTTGGATTTTTTCTTCTATTTAGAATCTTCGAATTTCAGTTTATTTACAATTTGGAATTTCTCTAATCTTTCTAATTTCTAGGATCTTTAAGGTCTTTAGGGTGTCTGGAGTCTTTAGAATCATCGCAGATTTTGGGCACTTTAAAAATATTAGAAGTTTAGAATTTCCAGGATCTTGAAGGCCCTCTAGAATTTCTAAGATCTTTAGCACCCCCAGAATCTTTAAAAATGTTAGGATTTTTTTGATATTTCTCATTTAGAATTTTAGAATTTCAGTTTATTAAAAATTTAGAATTTCTCTAATCTTTCTAATTAAGAGGATCTTTACGGCTTTTAGTCTTTAGAATGAACGGAGTTTTCAGAATCATTGAAGATTTTAAACACTTTAGAATTATTAGAAGTTTAGAACTTTCAGTATCTTTGGAATTTCTAGGATATTTAGGATCCCCAGGATTTAAAAATTTTAGGATTTTATTGAATCTTTCTTATATTTCGAATCTTAGAAGTTCAGATTATTTACAGTTTGGAATTTCTCTAATTTTTCTAATTTCTAGAAACTTTAGAATATCTGGAGTCTTTAGAATCATTGCAGATTTTGGACACTTTAAAAATATTAGAAGTTTAGAATTTCCAGGATCTTGAAGGCCCTCTAGAATTTCTAAGATCTTTAGCACCCTCGGAATCTTTAAAAATTTTAGGATTTTTTTGATCTTTCTCATTTAGAATTTTAGAATTTCAGTTTATTAAAAATTTAGAGTTTCTCTAATCTTTCTAATTAAGAGGATCTTTACGGCTTTTACTTTTTAGAATGACTGGAGTTTTCAGAATCATTGAAGATTTTGGACACAATTGAATTATTAGAAGTTTAGAACTTTCAGGATCTCTAGGATATTTAGGATCCCCAGGATTTAAAAATTTTAGGATTTTATTGAATCTTTCTTATATTTCGAATCTTAGAACTTCAGTTTATTTACAGTTGGAATTTCTCTAATCTTTCTAATTTCTGGAAACTTTAGAATGTCTGGAGTCTTTAGAATCATTGCAGATTTTGGACACTTTAGAAATATTAGGATTTCTAGGATATTTAGGATCTTCAGGGTCTTTAAAATTTGTAGGATTTTTTTTGGAACTTTCTTATATCTTCAGTTTATTTACAATTTGAAATTCCTCTAATCTTCCTAATTTATAGGATCTTTAAGGTTTTTAGAATGCCTGGAGTCTTTAAGATCATTGGAGATTTTGGACACTTTAAAATCATTAGATATTTAAACTTTCTTGCATTTTTAGAACCCTTAGAGTCTTTAAAATTTGTAGTATTTTGTTGGATTTTTTCTTTTATTTACAATCATAGAATTTTAGTTTTTTTACAATTTGGAATTTCTCTAATCTTTCTAATTTCTAGGATCTTTAGTCTTTTTGAATCTCTGGAGTGTTTAGAATCATTGCAGATTTTACACACTTTAGAAATATTAGAAGTTTAAAATTTCCAGGATTTTTAAGACCTTCAGAATCTTTAAATTTTTGTTTGTTTTTTTTGGATCTTTCTTATATTTAGAGTCTTAGAACTTCAGTTTATTTACAATTTCTCACATCTTCCTAATTTACCTTTACCAAGATCTTTAGAATGTCTAGAGCTTTTAGTATCATTGAAGATTTTGGACACTTTAGAACTATTAAATGTTTAAACTTTCTAAGATCTTTAGAACCCTCAGAATCTTTAAAATTTTTAGGATTTTGTTGGATCTTTATTATAGTTAAAATCTTAGAACTTCAGTTTATTTATAATCTAGAATGTCTCTAATCTTTCTAATTTATAGGATCTTTAAAGCCTTTAGAATGACTGAAATTTTTGAGAATCGTTGGAATCTGTAAAAGCTTTGTATCAGATTTCTAGCATTTTTTAAAAAATTTGGGTCTTCAGAATTTTTAGTGTTTTCACCATTTAAATTTTTTTGGAATTTCCATAACTTCCAGATTTCAAAAGTTTTATTTTGTCATAATCGAAAAAAAAGCCCTTTAGTAGTAGGCCATGAAATTTATTTTTAAAATAATGATGTTGGCAACACCAGCGAGTTTCTTGTTCAGTATGACAGTTGCTGATAACTATCAAATAAAATGTCAAATATTTAAAAAAAAATGTCACGGCCTACTAGACTTTTCTGCTTTATATGTACTTTTTGTAGGTTGGACAGTTTGGTTCTGATCCTAGACGTCCATACCAACATCACGGGTGACTTCTTGAATCGAGTTCGCATGAACACGATCCCGAATTTCCAGATTTTCAGTGCTATCCCGTTCAGGCAATACAACCCGAAAGTGTCCCAGTCGCAGGGACTAGAGATCAACAAAAACAACGGCCACTTCGACAAGGAAGAATACCGCTACATATCGTTTTACAGCAAAGATTACGTCACAGGTGGGTGTCAACAGTTTCGTTGCTAACTACCACTACGACTGTCAATTGCAGCCCGGAAACAGCACCAGAAGCTGCTCCCAATCGTGCGCGTGGACAACGACATCGCCGACATCCTCGCCGAAGAGTACCGAAGCTTCCCCGGCACCATCTTCGGGATGTTCGTGGAGTTCGGGGGCGAGCTGCACGCCATGCGCGCCACCGAACTAGGCCTCAAGGTCAAATACCACCCGCCCCCGCCCCACTCCGACCGGTGCAACCTCTTCATCGCCAGCCCCTCCCAACTCGGCCGCCTCCTCCTCTCCCAGCAAAGCCAAATCGCCGAACTCCAATAACCCCGCCCTAACTCCGCCCAAAAACCTCTCAAGTTTGCAGTATGTATTTGTATCAATATCATACATAATAGAATATTTCATGTAACAAATATTTTAATTATCGGTATTACCATATGACGATCGCCATTCGACATCAGTCCGAGTCCGAGCCCGACTCCGACAAACACAGGTCTTCGGTTAACAAATGCGTGTTTATCTTCGTCGACGCCGCCGCCGCCGTGCCGTTGCTGTGGTGGCCGTTCGTTTTGCTGAATTTGTTGACGACGGTGTTGTCCGGGTCGCTGTCCGAGTCGCTGTCGCTGCTCGAGGAGGAGGAGTCGCTCATCTCGCCCACGCCGGCCTCGGTGTCGGACAGCGGGAACATGGACGGCGACTTGTCGGTGGGGTTGGGCTGGGTGGTGGAGCTCGGCGGCAGCGAGCTCTGCTGGGGCGCGTCGAAGTCGTCGATGCCGATCATGGGCAGGCTGGCCAGGGTGCTCGGGTTGTGTGTTCTGCGCAAAAGAGAGTCAGCGGGGGGCGGGGCGGGGGCGGCTACGTACTCGTTGGTGTGCGTGTCGCGTTTGGGGCTTTTGTGGTGGTTGGGTGAAGGGTAACTGGGGCTCGCGTGTAACGGCGAATGTTTTGGCACCAAATGGGTGATGGGTCGGTCGGGCCGGCGACTGCCGCTGGTCACTTTCGTCTTGTGGGAGATGCGCTGCCCGATTGGGGGCGTTTGCGACCGAGACGAAAGGTTGGACGTCGTTCCGGACCTATCGTTGACTTGGCCTAGCCTCTCTGAAAATACACCGAATTAGGGAAATTGTTTGATGGGTCATGTATAGCCCACAGGAAAAGTGGCGCAAAATTTCGAGGTTAGAAAAGAAAATTGGTCGAACTTTTTTGACTTGAATTTTTCAGTTTTCCAACTTCTGAATTTTTCAGTTTTTAGATTTTGCAATTTTTCGATTTGAATTTCTCGGGTTTTCAATTTTTAATTTTACAGTTTTTCGATTTACAATTTTTTGTTTTTTAAATTTTTTGATTCTTTAAATTTTCGTTCCTTCCATTTTTCGTTTCGGTTTTTTCTTTCATTTTTAAATTTTTCGGGTTTTCAATATTCCTGTTTTCAATATATATGTATTTAATAATAATTATAATAAAAAAAATCACTTTTTCAATTTTAGGACCTTATGTTTCCATTTTTCGATTTTTAATTTTTCAATTTCTCAATATTTAAAATCTTCAGGATGTTTAAGGCTGTGTAATTTCTTAGAATCTTTAAATTTTTTTTAGGATTTTGTTGGATCTTTCTTTTATGTGGAATCTTCTACTTCAGTTTACATCTTTAAACTTTGGAATTTCTCTAATCTTAGTAATTTATAGGATCTTCAAGGTTTTTACATTTTAGGATTATCAAAAGTCTAGAATTTGCAGAATTTTTAAGGCCTCTAGAATGTCTGGGGTCTTTATAATCATTGGACACTTTAGAATTATTAGAAGTTTAGAAGTTCTAGGATCTTTAGGAACCTCAGGATCTTTAAATTTTTAGGATTTTATTGGATCTTCCTTACATTTAGAATCTTAGAATTTCAGTTTATTTACAATTTGTAATTTCTCTAATCTTTCTAATTTATAGAATCTTTGGAGTGCCTTTAAAATCTCCCTGATTTTTAAGGCTCTTTAGAATTTCTAAGATCTTTGGGACACCCAGGACTTAAAAAAATTTGGGATTTTGTTGGATTTTTTTTTTATATTTAGCATCTTATTTTTCGATTTGAGATTTTTCAATTTTTAATTTTTTTTGTTTGTACAATTTTTTATTGTCCTGATTTTATCATTTTTCTGTTTTTCAATGTGAAATTTTTCAATTTTTCGATTCGCAATTTGCCGATTTTCACCTTTCGACTTTTCATCTTTTGGATTTTTTTATTTTTCGTCTTTTCAATTTTAGATTTTTCAGTTTCACGATTTTTACTTTTTTCCAATTTTATAATTTTTCGATTTTTCAAAAAATGGAATCATTGCAAAATTCCAAAATTGAAAAACCAAAAATGAAAAAATATAAAATGAAAACTTCGAAAAATCTAAAAATTGCTTTATTTACTTTATTTTTTCAATGTGAAATTTTTCAATTTTAGGATTTTTCAATTGTTCGATTTGCAATCCTCCGGTTTTCAACTTTCGACTTTTCATCTTTCAGATTTTTTAATTTTTTGTTTTTTCAGTTCCTCGATTTTTCAATTTTTCGTTTCTACAATTTTTGATTGCAATTTTTCTAGTTTTCACTTTAAATATGCATTTAATAATTGTAATTTTAATTTTTTTCACTTTTTCAACTTTGCGAATTTATAATGTTTCCATTTTTCAATGATTAGATTTTAAAACTTTTTTATTTATTCTATTTTTCAATTTTTTGATTTTTAATTATGCAATTTCTAGCTATTTAAAATTTCCAAGGTCTTTAAGGCTCTCTAGAATTTCTCAGAATCTTTAAAAATTTTCAAGATTTTCATTTTTTCGTTTTTTCAATTTTAGATTTTTCATTTTGACGATTTTCACGTTTAAAATGTAATAATTGTAAAATTCCAAAACTGAAAAATCAAAAATGAAAAAACAAAATGAAAACTTCGAAAAATCTAAAAATTAGAAATCAGGAAGTTGAGAAATTGCTTTATTTTCTTTTTTTATGTACTTCATTTATTCGACTTTTCAATTTTCCGATATTTGGAATTTCCAGGATGTTTAAGGCTCTCTAGAATTTCTCAGAATCTTTAAAAAATTTTTAGGATTTTGTTGGATCTTTTTTTTCATCGTAGAACTTCAGTTTATTTACAATTTGTAATTTCTCTAATCTTTCTAATTTATTGAATCTTTCAATTTTAGGATTTTTCAATTGTTCGATTTGCGATTCTCTGGTTTTCAACTTTCGACTTTACATCTTTGGGATTTTTTAATTTTCCGCTCTATCAATTTTAGATTTTTCAGTTTCTCGATTTTTCAATTTTTGATTTGCAATTTTTCTAGTTTTCACTTTAAATATGCATTTAAAAATTATAATTTGTAAAATTATTTATTTTTTGATTTTTAATTTTTCAATTTTTAGCTATTTAGAATTTCCAAGATCTTTAAGATCTTTATACCGTCTTGAGTTTTTTTTAGAACCATTGGACATTCGGAACATTTTAGAATTATTAGAAGTTTAGAATTCCCAGAATTTTTAAAGCTCTCCAGACTTTCTAGGATCTTTAAGAGACTCAAAATCTTTTTAGGATTTTGATGAATCTTTCTTATGAGATCTTAGAACTTGTTTATTTACAATTTCTCTAATCTTTCTAATTTTTAGGATCTTTAAGGTCTCTGGAGTCTTTAGAATCATTGGACGCTTTAGAATTAGTAGAAGTTTAGAATTTCTAGAATCTTGGAATCTCAGAATCTTAAAATTTTCAGGATTTTGACAGATCTTTCCTGTATGTAGAATCTTTCGCTAATCTTTCTAATTTATAGAATCTTTAGAACATATTGAATCTTCTGGACATTTTAGAATTATTAGAAGTTTAGAATTTCCATAATCTTTAAGGCTCTCCTAATATTTTTAGCATCTTTTGGGCGACACTTAGGATTTTAAAATTTTTTTGATTTTGTTGGATCTTTTTTATAAATATTTAGCATGTTATTTTTAATTTTTCAATTTTCCATTTCTTCAAAATTTCGATTTACAACTTTTGGTTTCGGTTTATATTTTCTTATTTTTTCAATTATTCGAATTTTCAATGTTTTGATTTTGTAATTTTTTATTTTTTCACTTTAATCGTTTCTTCAATTTTTCGATTCATTAATTTTTCAATTTTTGGATTTTTCAATTTTTCGAGTTTTCATTTTAAATATTTATCTATGAATTATAATTAAAAAAAAAATCACTTTGTTAATTTATTTCATTTTTCAATTTTTCAATTTTTAATTTTTCTAATATTTAGAATTTCCAGCATCTTTAAGGCTCTCTACAATTTCTCAGGATCTTTAAAAATTTTCAGGATTCAATTTTTCAAAGTGAAATTTTTCAATTTTAGGTCTTTTCAATTTTTCGATATGCAATTTTCCGGCTTTCAACTTTCGACTTTTCATCTTTTAGATTTTTTAATTTTTCGTTTTTTCAATTTTAGATTTTTCACTTTCAGGATTTTTCGCTTTTTCGATTTTTCAAAAAATGTAATAGTTGTAAAATTCCAAAACTGAAAAATCAAAAATGAAAAAATTCACAATGAAAACTTGGAAAAATCTAAAAATTGGAAACAGGAACTTGAAAAATTGCTTTATTTTCTTTATTTTTTTTTATGTATTTCATTTGATTTTTGATTTTTAATTTTTCAATTTTCCGATATAGAATTTGTCAGAATCTTTAAATTTTTTTAGGATTTTGTTGGATCTTTCTTACATCTTAGAACTTCAGTTTATTTACAAGTCGTAATTTCTCTAAATTTTCTCATTTATAGAATCTTTAGAAAGTCTTGGAACTTTTGGACATTTTAGGATTATTAGAAGTTTAGAATTTCCTTAATCTTTAAATCTCTCTAGAATTTCTAGATCTTTGAGATACCCAGAATTTTTAAAATTTTTGGATTTTTCTGTAGATTTTCAATCTGCACCTTTTCGTTTATATTTTCATTATTTTTACAATTTTTCGATTTTTCAGTGTTCCGATTTTATAAATTCTTTTTTCAATTTCAATTTTTCTATTTACAATTTTTCGTTTCGATTTTTAATTTCTTTATTTTTTCAATTTTTCGGTTTTCAACTTTCGATTTTTCAACATTTAGTTTTTCAATTTTAGATTTCCCAGTTTCTCGATTTTTGAATATTTCGTTTCCTCAATTTTTCATTTATTCCATTTTCAATTTTTATATTTTTAAATTTCTCGATATTTAGAATTTCCAGGATCTTTGCGGTTTTCTAGGATCTTTAAGACACTCAGGATCTTTACAATTTTTTAGGATTTTGTTGGATCTTTCTTATATGCAGAATCTTAGAACTTCAGTTTATATATTTGGAAATTTTCTAATCTTCGTAATTTATAGAATCTTTAAGGTCTTTAGATTGTCTTGAATCTTTATAACCTTTGTTCATTTGGAACATTTTAGGATTATTAGAAGTTTGGAATTTACAGAATTTTTAAGGCTCTCTAGAATTTCCATTTTCTTTATTTTTTCAATTATTCGATTTTTCAATGTCCCGATTTTATAATTTTGTGTTTTCAATTAAAATTTTTTGTTTCTTCGATTTTTCCATGTGCAATTTTTCATTTCAAATTTTCTTTATTTTTTCAATTTTTCTGTTTTCAACTTTCGATTTTTCAACATTTAATATGTAGAGTTTTCGATTTCTCAATTTTTAATTGGCAATTTTCCTAGTTTTTATTTCAAATGTTATCTAATAATTATAATTAAAAAAAAATCACTTTTTCATTTATGCGATTTTGCAATTTTCCCATTTTTAGGTTTTCAATTTCTCGATATTTAGAATTTCCAGAATCTTTAAGGTCCTCCAGAATTTCAAGGATCTTTAAACATTTTTAGGATTTTGTTGGATCTTTCTTATATGTGGAATCTTAGAACTTCAGTTTACATATTTAAAATTTGAAATTTCTCTAATCGTTGTAATTTATAGGATCTTTAAAATCTTTATACTGTCTTCAGTTCTTATAATCATTGGATATTTGAACATTTTAGAATTATTGAAAGTTTAGAATTTTCAGAAATTTTAAGGCTTTCCGGATTTAGGATCTAAAGATCCTTGGGATA